AGCCAGGATGGTCTCGATCTCCTGACCTCGTGATCCGCCCGTCTCGGCCTCCCAAAGTGCTGGGATTACAGGCTTGAGCCACCGCGCCCGGCTGTTTTGTTTTTTGAGACAGAGTCTCGTTCTGTCACCCAGGTTGGAGTGCAGTGGCACAATCTCGGCTCATTGCAACCTCCGCCTCCTGAGTTCCAGTGATTCTCCTGCTTCAGCTTCCCAAGTAGCTGGGATTACAGGTGCCCACCACTACGCCCAGCAAATTTTTGTATTTGTAGTAGAGACGGGGTTTCAACATGTTGGCCAGGCTGGTCTCAAACTCCTGACCTCAGATGATCCACCCATCTCGGCCTCCAGAAGTGTTGGGGTTACAGGTGTGAGCCACTGTGCCCAGCCCAAAAAAGTCTTTTTAAATTTTAGTAGAGACCTAAAATTGAGAAAATGTATCTATGATCTAATTTTTTCTGGGAGTTCACTGTAACTGAGGGCAGGCCTCCATACTGCTTCTTCAAGGGAGCATAGTTTGAGAATCACGGAATTTCTGAAAGTTCTTCCAGGTCCTAAAAGTCATAATGTCTAAGCTTCTTGCCCCAGAGCTAAATGACAACAGAAACACTTCGCTCAAAGAACAAGAGCTAAAAAAGCAAAGTCCCTGTTTCCGGGCTGCAGGACACCCAGGAGTGCAGCGACTGACTGAGAGAGAACAGCCCCAATTCCTGAATTTCCACCCCAAACACAACATTCCACGCACAGGTGTAAGTGCCTCTCCTCCCAGACCTCAGACAGGCTACCCTTTCTCCGGGCTCTTCCGGGAAAGTAGTTTCTGCCTTCCTGGATCCCAGAGGAAATGAAAACAATCAAGCAGCCAGAACCCCCACCCTATTCTGCACTTTTTCCCTTTTTTTTTTTTTTTGGAGATGGAGTCTCGCTCTGTCGCCCGGGCTGGAGTGTAGTGGTGCGATCTCGCCTCACTGCAACCTCCACCTGCTGGGTTCAAGCAATTCTCCTGCCTCAGCCTCTCGAGTAGCTGGGACTACAGGCACACACCACCACACCCGGCTAGTTTTTTGTATTTTTTGTATTTTTTTTTTTTTAAGACAGAGTTTCGCTCTTGTTATCCAGGCTAGAGGGCATGGTGTGATCTCTGCTCACTGCAATCTCTGCCTCCCAGGTTCAAGTGATTCTCCTGCCTCAGCCTCCCGAGTAGCTGGGATTACAGGCGCCTGCCACCATACCCGGCTAATTTTTTGTATTTTTAGTAGAGACGGGGTTCTGCTATGTTGGCCAGGCTGGTCTTGAACTCCTGATCTTAGGTGATCCGCCTGCCTCAGCCTCCCAAAGTGCTGGGATTACAGGCGTGAGCCACCACGCCTGGCTAATTTTTTGTGTTTTTGGTAGAGACGGGGTTTCACCAAGCTAGCCAGGCTGGTCTCGAACTCCTGACCTCCTTTCAGCTTCCCAAAGTGCTGAGATTACAGGCGTGAGCCACCCCGCCTGGCCTCTGTTCTGCACTTTCTCTAGAGAAAGCTGTCACACAAAGGCAAACAGATGAACAGGGCCGCCTTCCCCTGGAGGCCTGGGGTAAAGACGAAATGAGAGCTGAGTTCACGTGAAGTGCCCCACGTGGTGGCAGTTTCCTCTCTTTTCCTGTGCAGCTAGGTCACCACCCACTTCTCTTTGTACCCCGTTCTCTACTAATCAAACATACAAGACAGCTCAAAAATTGTGCGTGGCGAGTTGATTTTCCTCCTCAGTCTTTCAGCCTCCATTTTCTCACCTCTCTGCATGGCTGAAGCCCTCCATGGGCTGTTCCCACCTCCCCGACCCCTAAGAAGCTTCTCTGAAAAGTCACCAGCTCCTTCCAGGTTGTCCAATGCCATGGGCATGTCTCAATGAACTCAGCTTTCCCTAGGGCTGGGCAGCCACCCTCCGGGAAAACCCCTTGCTTCCCCAGATATCGCTCTGTCCTGCCTTCTCCCTCGGTCCCCACTGCCTGCCACTCCTCCTCTCCATGTGACCCACAAATGTCAGGGTTTTCATGGACACGATTCTGAGACTTTGTCTCTCCTCCCTCTCCCCTTGCTAAGCCCTTAAGTTCCCATGGATTTAAATGCCAGGGTTCTGCTCTCAACTCCCATCTCTGTCACCCGTACTTCCCTATGGCCCAGACTCCAGGCACCTGGTGTCTCACACGAAGCCCTCGATTCCCACCTATCCCAAACCTCATCCTTCCCTGGGTCTTCCCATCTGAGCAAATAGCACAACCATCACCAGGTGTTCAGGCCAGACCCCTGGGAGTCCTCCTTGAGTCCACCAGTTCCCCTCCCCTCCGGTCAAGCCCTATCGTTAGCTCCAAAATACACCCCAAAGCTCTCCTCTGTCTCCATTGCTGCCTCTCAAATCCACATCAAATCCTTCCTGTACACAGAAACCTTCTATGGCTGCTCAGTATTGTCAGAAGTAAGCCAGCTTTTGGGCAGACCCTGCAGAGCCCTGATGTGTGGAGCCCCGTCTGCCTCTCCAGCTGCATCTGGCTCTTTCTCCTTTGCCATTTCACCCTGGCACACAGTTTGCCAAACAAGTCAAGCCAAGGCCCTGCTGGTGCTGTTTCCTCTGCCTGGAACACTCTCCCCCACCCCACCCCCCACAAAGCCGGCTCTTCAGTTCCTTCAGATCTTAACTGAAATGCCACCTCCTCCAAGAAGCCTTTCTTGACCACCCCAACTAAAGCAGGCCTCTGCTATCTTCTATTTCAGCCCCTTGTTTCTTTATGTTTTGCCTGTCTCCCCCATCAGAATGTCAACTCCATGAGGGCAGGAACCATATATGCCCAGGGCCTAGTACACAGCCAGGTATACAGTAAGTGTCCAGTAAGCATCTGCTGAAGGAGCAGATGAACCAGTCATCACTGCCTAGAGATTAAGTGGTTCCCAGTAAGTTCTAAGGGTTAGCCTGAAGGGGAAACTGAGGCCCATCACTTCTGGTTTTCCAGTTCTGCAGGAAAGGCTGGGGCCCAGGCCAGAAGGCGCCTCACCTCCCTTTTCCAGCGTGCCAGCCACTCGTCCCGCTTGCGCTTGCTGATGTAGTAGGGGTCCCCCGCCTGGAAGGTGTGCCTCGGCATGGGCCGCTGACGGAGGCTGGACTCCCAGCCCAAGCCACCCCGCAGCCGGCCCCGGGAGCCCTAGGACAGAGAGACAGATATTAGGGCATTAGGGTGGGAACGGACAGACCCACCGAGGAGGCACTCACCTCAAACACAATGTGGACACTGGCTCCTGGCCAGAGAGGGCACCCCTGGGAGTGCTGGGCAGACCCTGTGTGGGCTTGAGGAGCGAGGGACATGTGTGGTGGGGGTGGGGGGCACATGGACACAGCCACAGGCCACAAAGGGAGGTGCCTGGCCTCTGGAGGGGGATGAGCCGGCTGCCTTGTTGGGGGACTTCCAACCTCCACACCCACTTCCTCTCCTTCCCACAGAGGGATGTGTAAAGGAGGAGGAGGGGCCCACCCTCCACCCCCTCACACACCCTCGCCACCCGTGTCCTTCTTCTAGAATCAGGATCCACAGAGCCCCTGGGGGTGGAACACTTGCCTCCATTTTCATGGATTCGATGTTGGTCTCCTTCTGTTCTTTGCCTGTGGAGAGGGAAGAACAAAGGGACCAGTTCGTTGGTCGGCAGAATTACTGGAGTGGCTCATAGGCCCCACCTTGTGCCTGGGGTCCCTGCCACAGGGGATGGGGGTCCTCTGGCCGTTTAGCTGTTCATGAGTTAAATATGATGGCCCACCACATGCCAGGCACAGTGCTGACCCTGAGGACCCAGCAGGGCCTAGGGCAGAGAAAGAACTCGGGCAGGGGCAGGCCTTGAGGCCCAGGCAAGAGGGAACACGAGGAAAGTCAGAGCTGGGTTTCTGGCCTGTTGACTCTGTCTCAGGTACACAGAAGGGGACTGAAAATACCCCCGTTCTGCTGCTCCCAGTCAAGAGACCTCCTTCCCCAGAGGAGGAGCAGGATGGCAGAGGGGGTGTGGAAAGTGGAGGGGGTGCAGGAAGGCCTGGGCCAGAGGGCCAGCCTGAGCGGCCTCCCTGGCCCTGCAAGGGAGTGTTTGCAAAGAGGCCTTCTGGGCATAAGGGCATGTACTGGGGGGCGGTGGGTACCGGGCCAACTGGAACAAGACCCCGGTGAAGCAACTTCCTCTCTACGAGACTCAGTTTCCTCATCTGGAAAATAAGGATGCTGGATGCGATTTCCAAGGTCCGCCTGCAGGTCCAAATATTATGATTCTATTACTAATCTCATTCTCTGTCCCTCCACTCCCTACCCCATGCTCAGGCCCCGGAGCTCAGCCTTTAATCTAGAAGACTTGAGTTTGGATTCCAGTGTGACCTCTGTAACCTCTCCTGGCCTGTTTTCCCACTGAATCAAGATAGATAAATGTTCTAAAATCATTAGGTTATGATGAGCATTAAGTGCCTAGCATGGGGCCTGGCATACTGTAGGTGTTCAATACATGTTAGTGTGGTATTGTGGCCCTGATTCCAGGTCCTGGCAGGGAAGTCTCAACTTCCCTATTGAGACCCTGCCCTCTCGCGGTGCTTCTCCAGGCCCCCAGCATAAGGGGAGCTGCGTTCCTCCCAAGCATCCCCCTGTACTCCCCACCAGGTCCTCACCACCCTTTCCAGGCACCCCTTCCAGGCTCAGCGCCCTGCAGGCTGCGGGGCTGACCGATTCTGCCTCCCCTAGCTTCTTGCTGGAGGTGGGGAAGTGAGCCCTCCTTCCACCTGGGCCCCTGAGCGTCTTTGTTGGGAGCCGAGAGCGTATCGGGCCTGGACCCACTGCAGGAAGGTCACTAAGGCTGGCTTATGGTAGCTCGGGGTGGGGGGAGACAAAGAGCTTGAAACGGAAAAAACAGCCCCGACTTCATCTCCTGGCTGTGAAGCGGAAGCCAGCCACAGTGTTCACGCCGCGGGTCCTCAGCCCGGGAGGCCACTCCCTTCCCTCGTGACAGGGGGGTCCTGGGCTGGGTTTGGGCTGCCCCCGGGCGCCCAAGACAGCGCTGTCCTCAGTGGTTCTGTCCCGGGTGACAGCGACTCCCGCTAGCTAGGCCCGGGAGCACCGGGGGAGGGAGGCAGGAGCGCCGCCGTGGGTGCGGGCCTGGCGCCGGGCTCATCCCGCGGGGGCCTCGTGGGCGGGGACGGGGCGTCTGTCGCGGGCACCTGTGCGCGTGGGCGGGCGCGCACTCGCCAGCGCTTTGTTCGTGACCGGCCTTTTAAGGGCTGTCTCAACTGTCTTGTCTGGCTCTGCCTCCCTGTTTCCTTTCTGTCCTCTCTCCCACCACAGCCAGCTCCCCACCTTTCTCGTAGGGCCCCCTCCAGTCTGTCCCGGGCCTCCCGGCTCCCAGGCCAGGGCTTCCCCCTCCTCCCAGACCTGGTCGCTCTGCCCGGCGAGGCTCCGGGCTCCCAGCAGGGGGCGCCTGCCCGCGATCAGGTGGCGGCCGGGGAGGGGGCGGCCTGGCGGTCCAGGCTGACACTGACCCGGCGGGGCTCCGGGGCTCGCGGTGGCGCTGGGAACCGCTGTGTCAGCCCTGCGGCTGGGGCGGGGAGTGGAGGACCCCCGGGCTGGCTCCGGGACCTGGACATGGGGTTCCCGACTGCATTCTCTCCCCAGCCTGCTTTAGAACCTCTAAGGTTTCCTACCTGGGACCCACCATGGCATTTAATTACTTTTACGGATATTTATTCATTAGAATATTAGAAAATCAGGGTTGAAAGGCTTTCCCGAGTACTTGTTCAGCACTTAAATTTTGCAGAAAGCTGAGACCTGGGGGGTGGAGTGACTTAAGGCCAGAGCTGAGATGAGCTTTCAGGGGTCCGGATGCCCCGGCCAGCTCCCTCTCCGCTGCACCACTACTGTTATTTCTCGATGTGACCCCTTCCTAATTTCCCAGCCCCCAGGCTCCCCAAAACAGAACGATTTTTCCTTATGCAGTTTCCAATTGGCTTCTTTCTGGAATTTTCTCCCTGACGACTCTGCGCATGCCCACTTGAGTGATCACACACACACACACACACACACACACACACACACACACACGCTTTCCAGCCTGGCCCAGCCGCCTCGGAATGCGGCACTTGTCGTGAGTCAGGGAGGGTCAGCTGCTCTCTCAGTACGGCCTATGCAGCCCAACTGCTCCTGGCCCAGGCCCAGGGTCACCACCAGGGCCAGGTGGCTGTGTCCTTCCAGTGTGGCCCTGGCAGGCCGAACATAACCCTAGTGCATCTCAGGACCTGGGGGCAGGGGAGGCCAGGGTGCTTCTAACACTCGCCTCTTAGTCTGAGCTATACTCAGCCAGAGGACACCCAAGTTCTCTTTAAAATGAACGCAAATCTCCATGACCAGGCTGTAGCCAGGTTTACCTCAGAGGGCAGTCACTGGCCTGAAAAGGGGCCCTGTGCTCAGTCTGAGCAGAGAGGGGCTTTGTGCTGACCCTAATCCAGTCTCTTACCAGTTGTATAATCTTGGGTAAGTAATTTAACCTTTCTGAAGCTTCAGTCTCCCCATCTGAAAAACAGGGATGATAAGAGTCTTCCAGGCTGGGTGCAGTGGCTCATACCTGTAATCCCCGCACTTTGGAAGGCCGAGGTGGGCGGATCACCTATAAGATCAGGAGTCTGAGACCAGCCTGGCCAACATGGCGAAACCCTGTCTCTACTAAAATTACAAAAATTAGCAGGGCAAGGTGGCGGGCGCCTGTAATCCCAGCTACTTGGGAGGCTGAGGCAGGAGAATCACTTGAACCTGGGAGGGGGAGGTTGCAGTAAGCCAAGATCGTGCCACTGCACTCCAGCTTGGGTGACAGAGTGAATGAGACTCTGTCTCAAAAAAAAAAAAAGTCTTCCTCCCATGATCACACATGGGGCATAATACACAGCAGAGCTTCTGAAACTTTCATATGCATGGGAAGCATGAGGGCCTCTTTAAAATGCAGATTCTGATCCAGCAGGTCTTCAGCAGAGCCTGCAATTCTGCACTTCTAAATCCCCGGGTGCTGCCAACGCTGCTGGTCTATGGACCACCGTGAGCAGCAAGGAGAGAGAATGCCCAATACAGTCAATACTCAGTAAGGGAAAGCCACATTGCCACTGCCACCATCATCATTATGGCTTTAATGCTGGCGGGGGCAGGAGCAGACCCGAGACAAGCATGGGCCTGTCGGATGTTGGCTCCTGTCCCTATCACTCATCTCAACATCTCCCCTCTTCCTGATTCTTTCTCCTGGCTGTACTTTCAGCACATGCTCAGGCTACAAGAAACGCTGCCTTAAAAAGCCTGTTGGTGCTGTACAGGAGCTCATGAAAGGGGTTCCAGGAGAGCGTCCCCTGAAGAGAGACCTGGAATAACGGGAACTGAAAGGAGACCACGGCCGAGCCACATCCTCTCCGGGGCCTTAGTCTCCTTCCTCATCTGAATCAACCAGCTGAGCATGTGTTCTATGTCAGCTGACTGCTGGAACCGTGACCGAGCCTCTACAGCCTGATTAAGGCATTGCCCATTGCACACGGGCAAAGCCTAGGCCACTGCCCACCCCACTAGGTAACATCTCACCAATTTCAGCTTCCAGGCAGTGCACAGTGGCCTTCAGGGATCCTACTAGCTCTCATCCCTGCCAGAATCTATACTTCCTGGATAGCTGGGGCCACACCGGAGTGCACCAAGGCCAAAGTTTGGTATTTTTGGTGTTTTTTTGAAATGGAGTCTCACTCTATTGCCCAGGCTGGAGTGCAGTGGTGCAATCTTGGCTTACTGCAACGTCCGCCTCCTGGGTTTAAGTGATTCTCCTGTCTCGGACTTCTGAGTAGCTGGGACTACAGGCATGCGCCACCAAGCTCGGCTAATTTTTTTTTGTATTTTTAGTAGAGACAAGGTTTCACTGTGTTGGCCTGGCTGGTCTCAAACTCCTGACCTCAAGTCATCTGCCCGCCTGGGCCTCCCAAAGTGCTAGGATTACCAGCATGAGCCACTGCACCCAGCCTCAAGGCCAAATTTTGGAGGTCAAGGAGACTTAAAGAGTTTTTGCCTACCATACTCAGCACTAAGATTCTAAGGAAGATCCACCTGTCTGAAAGTCCCAGACCCAGGAATCATCCTTGACAGCATCTCTCCCTCACATCTCATGTCCCTGGCATTTGTCCCCTCCCTTCATCTCTGCTGCCATCCTGCTTCCCAGCTCCTCCATTCCATGCCAGGATCCAGATGACATAGTGAGCTTTTCAAATTGCAAAGCTGATTACATCACACATACACACTGTCCGCCCCACCCC